TAACATTGTTGATTTAAACTTTGTCCTTTTTCTCTCCCTAATGCAAATGAATTAGGCCTTATTCTACTTGCATTTAAATCAGATTTGCAACAGGGTCACTGCATTGACTTGGGTTACTCCTGATTCATGCTGGTGTGAGAGAAGACTCCATCTGGGAAGCTATTCTGTCTTGGTATAAAAATCCCTCAAACATGAATGTGCCTTGAAATAGTTCCAGCTGTCCTGTGCCGCCATGTCCTCTTGCCCAGCCGTGCTCTCATTCAGTCACATACCAGCAGTGGCTTTTGCTGTTGCTCACGGCACTACATAACTAATCCTCAACATAATTACAGTCTTCGTTTCACGGTGTGCCGGTTGCCAGCGAATAGGGAGTCCAGAGTGGGTGCTGGAGGCGCGACAACAGTGTGACTGCCCTTCTCACAGACCCTGCTGATCTGTTTTCGTTTAGAGCCCCGATGATGTCTGGGGTGGAGACACAATTTCTATTATGATGATGTGGTATTTTATGGGGGAATTTTTTAATACACATTGGAAGTCCCCTACAAGCTTTTTTTTTTAAAAGGCTCCTTGTCCATTCTGTACACGCAGTGATATGCCTTTAGCCCTGTCCTGTGATACTCCGCTGCTCTGGCAGCTTTCACATTCTTGGGACAATTATTACATAAAATGTACTGATTTCTTTTCCTCCACATATCCCAGACTCTCTTCCTCTTGTTCCACTGTATCCTTCTCCAACCTCTTCCGTCCAAGGAGGTCAAAGCACTTCAAAACTTGAACTAAGCTTCTCTGCATCCCTGCAACACGAGGAAATATTGTCCCTATTTGTACACATGAGGAAACTGAGGCATAAGTTGATTGCAAGCCTGATCCGAAGCCCTTTGTATTCAGAGTCCCTACGTGATTTGGCCAAGGTCTTGTAGTGAATCTCTAGCTAAGACACGAATAGAACCCAGCTTCCCATTGCAGATGGCCGTTGTTAAGTTGGTCTCTCGCTTATCGGCTAGTCAAGTCGACTACTCGCATTTCTTCCCCTGTTGCCCTTGCTGCCTCTATTGGTGGCAGCAGGGGGGAGAAGCTGGTGCTGGGGGGATCTGGCTTGAGAGGCAGCAGCACGGTGGAGGGGCCAGGGGAAGCTGTGACAAAGCAGCCTGTGCCTGCAGTGGTGTTTGCCATGGGCAGAGGGCACTCCACATCTCACCCAGCAGTGTGGGTGGGTGGAGGGGGTTATAAACCTGCTCCCGGTGTACACCGGCTGCTGGCCTCACTCCCGGGGCACTGGCTGCTGCCCAGTGCTGCAAGCTTTGTAGTATAAAGCTTATAAGCTTAGTACTGCAGCGCCCACAGTGCGTGTAACTACTGGGATTTTTAATGGTTCCATGGTTGTTTTTCAGTGACTCTTTTAAACATCCCTGGATTGTATCCAGACTTCCCCCTGCTCCCCCGCCTGTGGGCCCATGGGGACTGCTCCTTCCTCCTGCACTGTCACCTGTGGTGTGTAGGGATGGTGGTGTGTATCACAGGCTCTAGCTGCTCCCCCCCCCCCCCCCCCCCCTTGCTGCATGTGATACAGAAGCAGTGGGGGAAGGAGGGGGGATGGAGGGGTTGCATGTAACTGTTGGGATTAACCAGTGAGTCCAGGCTTATCACACGAAGAAGTAAGTCAGGGCAGGGTGCAAGTACCCACGCCACTAGGGATGTTAAAAACCACGTGTTTAACATGTAACCACTGACATTTGTAGTGGTTACGTGTTTACACGCAAGGGGGGCAGGCAGGCGCCAGTGCTCGATGGGAGCCGGCTTTTAACCCAGCTCCTGCCTGGGCCCCCCTTCGCTGCTGCCTCTTAGAGGCAGCAGCAAGGGGGGGATGCAAGGTGGTTCTGCAGGAGCTGGTACGTGCAGGGAGCTGGCTTCCTGTGTGTGCTGGCTCCCGCCTGCCCCTCCCACGCCCTGTGCTGCAGCCTCTCTATTAGGGCAGCCAGCTCGCCTAATACCTGTGTCTGTGGAGCCGACTTGTCTCTCTGTCAGCACCCGGTGGGTGCCCTGCCTTATTTCCTTGTGCGGGCGTGTAGGACAAACCGCAGATTCACCCTCTGGGAATTGACTCTCCTCACACTCAGCAGTACCTGGGCACGTTGTAACAAGGGCAGACTCGACAGATATTTAACTGTGGCTCGCTACTAGACGCCGAAGTGCCTGGAGATCACACATTCCTTCCTAAGTGTAACCTCACTGCGTGTGTGTGTGGTTTGCAGGATCAGGCCTTGGAACTGCCCCCCAGCTCCATTCTGTCTGCTAGCATTAATCTGCCTGCAATTAATCACGGAAGTGCTCCAGGTTAAAAATGGATTCGGCGTTCTCTGCGGGGCTGCTACTTACTTATTTCTCTCCCTTGCCCTGTGGCGTTGGTCGGTTCCGCATTCCACCGGGGCATTTAAATTCTTTTCAGCGCAGACAGCATGAGAGGAAACTGCCAGCTGTCTGGAAGTGGCTGGGATGTAGAGAGGTGCTCCGTGTGAACGCAGCGTGCTGTCCTAGGTCTTGGTTGATCTTCCTGGTTTTCACAAGAGCCAAAGTTCAAGCCTGAGCCCCATCTTCCCAGGGCTGACATCGATACCTTAAGGCTCCAACCGTTGGTGGGATGGGGGCCTCTGTTTTGGGCCCCCGCACTGGAGGTTTGGACTCTCTGCTTGGGGCAGTAGGGTTCAGGGGGTGCTCAGGCTCCAGTCCCCTTGCTGAGTCGTGTAGTAATTTTTGTAGTCCAAAGAGGTTCCCGGTGCAGTGACGTTTGAGAGCCCCTACTGTACTCTGTGCACACAGAATAGAGGGACTCGTCTTTTTCTCACTCTCCCACTCCACTGGTGTGGGAAACCAGGTCCTGAATCACACTAATGCAGCCACTGAGGTCCTGATTCAGCAAAACTTAAGCATGTGCTTAACTTTAGTCATCCCTGTTGATTTTCAATTGACTTAGCACATGCTTAAGTGCTTTTGCAGAATTGGGACCCATAACAAGGACTCCTCATTGTTGTCACTAGAGAGTCTCTTAGGGTGATTGGATATCCAGATGTTTTTGAGGACCGTTCCAGTACTTGGGGCTTTGTCTTAAATACACAGCTCTAGACCTCCCCCCCCCCCATTACCTTTGATTTTTTTTCACACTTGCTATTTGATCATCCTAGGCTTTCTGTTACAGTCACCCCTCTCCCTCTGCCCCCGCACTCTCCTGCTTGCTTGATTAAAACATTTCACCTGACTGACAGCTCAGCTTCTCTTTGAGGGACCACTGTTTGAGAGCTGTTGCCGTAAAACATAGTTCTCTTGACCCTGGTCTATGCTAGGACCTTAGTCCGAAATAACCCAAGTTTGAATGTGTAAGTGGTGCACCCATGCGACCAAGCCCGTTGTTCTGGAGTAAGGGGCTGCAAAATTTGACCTCTGCACTCCTGCTTTCTCGAGTGTGCAAGTCTGAAATACCGTTAGTGTGGATGCTCCGGTGCTGCTAATTCGAACTAATTGGCCTCCGGGAGGCCGCCTGCAGCTCCCCAGAGTGCTTCCTGAGGCTCTGAGTCCACATGAACGCTCCGGAGCCTGCCTTGAAGGACATTCAATTCTTCCCTTTAGTGAGGGGACAGAACTTGGAAATAGTTGAGTCGGGAGTCCAGAAGTCAAATTTAGCAAATTCAAAATAATTTCCTAGTGTAGACATGGCCTGGGGGTTTAGCTAGATACGATGTCAACATCTCAGGGCTGTGTTCTTCCTTGCTTCACATCTAACTCCTGTTGTTCTCCAGGCCTGCTCCCTGGCTTGTGCTGACATGCCAGTCGGGCGTCTAGCTTTTGTCTTTCTTTTTCCTAATACTGCTGCTCCCACTGAAAACAAACTCTTGTTCCTCTCCGGTGATACGCATCACTGGATGCTAATTAAGGCCGCTGGGGCTGACTGACTTCTCTCCTACCTCACGTCATGGGGTATGGATTTTTGCCTTCTGTGGCTCACAACAGTAACAGCATAGTTGGAGGTCAGCCTGCTTGCTTTGTTTTGGCATTCTGCGATCGATCACAGGGTAGCAGAGCTAGAGCCATGTGATCGCAGATCAGTTTCTGCATTGTACTCACTCTGACATTTTTCTGTTGCCTAGGCCCGTCCAAAGTACTTGAATTGTATTGCAATCAGCTGCTTCTTTCTTGCTGCCAAGACCATTGAGGAAGATGAGGTAATATTTTTCTCTAAAGGCCTAGTATCTACTTGAAATTATATGCCCCCCTAATTCTCTAGCTGCTTCAGCTGGGATGGGGAGGTGAGGGAAGAGGTTTGCCACTTTCCAGATATGACTGATCTGTTTGGTTTTTTTTGGTAAGTTTAAACTGTCTGTTTCTGCAGAGGATTCCAGTACTGAAGGTGTTGGCCAGAGACAGCTTTTGTGGCTGTTCTCCAGCTGAAATTCGCAGAATGGAGAAGATTATTCTGGATAAACTGCACTGGGATCTTCACATGGCTACGCCGCTGGATTTCCTTCATATTGTAAATATGTTGCTAATTACTTTCTTCCCAATGGTGGGTGTGTGGGTGTGTGTGTGTGTGTGTGTGTGTGTGTGAGTGTTCATTTCATTGGTATTCGTGTGAGTATGCACCAAATCTTAAGGGACTTACTCAGATTTGACTCCGACAAAAATCCCTAATGCTGGGGTAGGTGAGGAGTGTAGAATTTGATCATCTATTCAAAGACCTGGCCTAACCAAAAAAGACTCTGCAAAGATTTTCAAAAGTGACTAGTGGGGGTTTTTTTGGGCAGGGGAGGGGCATGATATGGGGCACTTCAATGTGCCTGATTTTTAGAATGAGCTGGGCTCTCACCCTCTGATAATCAGACTCCTTGAAAGGTGTCTCCAGCACCCGAAACCATTAGTTCCTCTTCAAAATCTTAGCCCCAAATGTTACTGGCCAGTCTGTTTGCCCCAGGATCAAAGCAAGGCAACAACAGCACAAAGGAATTAGGAAGGAGCTGGCAGGAGGGGGAGGCGGGGGAATGACACCTATGTGGTAGACATGAAGGGTGCTTCAGTGTGTCCTTAACTGCCACAGGCTTTTGTTTACCTGATAAAAACCGGGCCGAGGGAGCTGTTTCGTGTGGCGAAACCCATGGCAGGGCGATAATGGCAAGGAAAACGGAGTCTCCCCTCACAGAATTCCTGCTTGATGGCCTCCTCCCAGTGCGGGGAGCAGGCAGGAGGCCCTGTTTGTCCCTGGCCAGTTGAACCATTGAGCCTGCAGTTGCGGAAGAGGGTGGGGCTATCCCTACAGGGACTTGTGTCCTCCCTGGCAGCCCTGTGCCAACAGAAATGCTCTATCCGGGATTCCCCCGGTCACGGCTGCCCTGGGACCTTGCTCCCCTTACAAGACTGACCCCACCCCACACAGGGCTCTGTGGGAGGGGTAATCGTCGCCCAGAAACGGTGACACAGCTGGGGGAGGTCCACCAAGGCGACGGTGTGCATCTCTTGGTCCCATCTCACCTCGGTATGAGGCTTCCCACTCTCGCCGAGCTGTCTGCTGGGAGGCCAGTGCCTGGCTGGGAGGGGAGGCAGAGCATGGGATCTTGCCCTGCATGTGCTGTTGGGGTTCGAGTGGGCTAGGCCCTTTCAAAGGCGCAGGGGCGGAGGGCTCGGTGATATTGAGCGCTGAGTGCTCTTGCTGTTGCACATGCTTATGAAGCGGGGGCTGGACTTGACCTCCTGAGGGCTCTTCCAGCCCTTGTGGTTCTGTGACACTCTCAGTAACCCAGCCTCTTGTTTGCTTCTCCCTTTTCCTCAGTTCCACGCGGTCGCTGTGTCCACCAGGCCTCAGTTACTGACCACCCTGCCCAAGATGAACCCATCTCAGCACGTGGCCGTTCTCACCAAGCAGTTACTGCACTGTATGGCCTGTCACCAGCTGCTGCAATTCAAGGGCTCCATGCTGGCGCTGGCCATCGTCAGTCTGGAGCTGGAGAAGCTGATTCCTGATTGGCTGGCGCTCATCTTCGAACTGCTCCAGAAAGCACAGGTGAGGGCAGGGCAGGGGTCTTGGGACATCCCTGCTCACTGGCCTGCTGGCTAGGAGAAGGGTCTCTTGTTTCTGCGACAGTCATTGCAAGGAGGTGGAGGAGAAGCTGAGGGTCTGCACTAGACAACCAGCTGTGGTGAGGAAGCCTCTCTCCTCTCGTGACTTACTCTGGCCATAGGCAGCAGCTTCCTCTCGGTCCAGGGCGGGCTCGGCCCCCCACTTTGTCCTCTCGCAGGCCCGGTCCTGACTCCACTTCTCCCCCTCCCTTCCAGAACCTCCTGCACACTGTGAAACAGCTGATCGCAGGGAGCGCTGGGGTAGGGAGGTCTGCCTGCCAGTGGGTGCTGTGCCCCTGCTAATTGTTTTATTTGTCTGTGGGTGCTCCGGGACTAGAGAGAGACGAATAGGTTGAAATTCAGCAGGGCTGGTGGTTTTTTCCCTCCCCTTTGTCTCTCTTGCACTCACCATCTCTCCCCACCTTACTGAAGATGAACGTAGACCTACTACGTGTTCGTTCACATTGATTTGTGCCCGTGGGCTTCAGGAAATCTTTGACTGCAGCAACTACTATGCTGGCATCCGTGTAGCACACCCTTCCAAATAAAAGCTGAGTCACGTAATAGGTGAGTTACAGGAAGGTACATGTACCTTTAGCGATCTGTCGGCATGGCCAAGAGACAGACTGGGGCTGATTCTTCTCTCGCTTATGCTGGGAGAAGTCAAGGATTTCCCCATTGAAAGTCAAGGGATTTCATTAGTGTCAAATGGGTCTGAAAGTGGAAGCCAGACTGGATGGGACAGATCTTTAGCTGGTTATGACACTGTCAGCTTCAGTGGAGCTGTGTGCTGCTTCGGTATCTGAAACGGGACAGAAAACGGCCTTTTTCTCTTTGGTGTGGGTAAGCTGTCAGAATCCCAGCCTCTGCGCTTTGGATGCAAGGTTTTGTGTGGGGGAATGTTTTGTGTTCTGTTGTGGGGGGTGGGAATGGAGGGTAGAATTGTTTGTGTTTTGCAAAGGCGATCCTTTGCAAAGCCTGAATGGTCGAGCTTTTGAGACGTCTCTGCAACTACTCTGCATTGTTCAGCAATTGATACTCTCTCCCCTGGATGGAGGGAACATAATGCAGGTGCTAATGTGCCAACCAAAACTGTACAGCTGAGAGCTCCCAACTGGCCTGGCCACAAGGGGTTAAACTAACCAGAAGGATGCAGTCCTTCCGGCTTTGGAATTCTTTCCACCCTTCCTTCCCCCACCGGTGTGTCAAGGAAAGGTATGCAATACTCCCTTGACATGCTGGCGAGGAAAGTGGTTGTAGCGCACTTAAATATGTGCAGGGTCGTAAGTAGAAAGGCTTTGTGGAAGGATTTTGGTTTTTCTGTTGCGTACAGACCTAATGTAAGAGGCAGTCACATGCAGGCCATTGATAAATCATTTTGGATGACGTTTACAGACACCCAATTCTCATGCACTGTAACGAGAGCCAATTGTCCAGATCTCTTGGGCAGCTTTGAAACATCTTAGTCTTTTTAAGCCAAAAGTTTTTGCCCCAAATCACTTTCACCCCAGCCCCCCGTTCAGCGCACAAACAAGACGCAACTAGGTATGTGGAAAATGGCCAAGTGTAGCAAGCCAGAATGACACTTGATTTCCTAGCCCTTTTGCTCCTTACCAGTGTCTCACCTTGGTTTTGCAATGCCTGTGTCTTTTCCTTCTGTCTAGATGGACAGCTCCCAGCTGATCCACTGTCGGGAGCTTGTGGCCCATCATCTTTCCACTCTGCAGTCTGCTCTGCCGCCCAATTCTGTATATGTCTACAGTCCCCTCAAGCATACCCTGGTGACCTGTAACAGAGGAGCGTTCAAATTCAACCCCTCCTCTGTCCCAGGCCCAGAATTCTCCAAGGACAACAGCCGACCAGCAGTGCCAATCAAAGGTACAGCCGTGTTCTACCAGCGTCTGGCAGTTCCCACTGGGTGCAAGCAAGCCTCTGCCAAGCGCAAAGTGGAAGAGATGGAGGTGGATGACTTCTATGATGGAATCAAGCGGCTCTACAATGAAGACAGTGCCCCCGAAGCGGTGGCGCTAGAAAATGTGGGGTCTGTTTGTGGTGCTGATGCGTCGAGGCAAGAGGGCAGCAGTTCCCCTTGCCCACCTTTGCAGCCGGTCTCTGTTGTGTAGCTACCGCCTGCACAAGCCGTCAGCGGAAAGCTACTTTTTAAACCATGCCAAGTCGGGCTGTGATGTGTTTGGGAGGGGACTGAGGAAAGAAGCTGTATCTAATCAGGCTGAACTGAAGAGAGCCAAGAAAACCCCCCCTTTTTTTTTATTTCCACTCGCCCTTCTAGTGTGGCTAATTATTGTTCAACTATTATTTAAGTACTTAAAAACACAAAAAGTATAAAAAATCTATAAAAGACCCCAAAAAACAAAAAAAGTAGCAATTTTGTTTCTTTCTAGTGTCATTGGTTCCACTGTTTTTCTGCTACTGTGATGTAATCTGTCTTCCATGTCCAAGAGCTCACATTGATTGTACAAAATTGTGCCAGGTTTTCCAGCTGTGTCTGTTCAGTTTTCCTTTTTCCTCCTTGCTCTCTTCCTGCTTGCTCTTCCTTTAACACTCTGCAAGTCTTGTGTGTGACTTTCTGTACTCTGACCTTTGCCGCAGATAACTTTTCATTATAACCAAAAATCTTTCTTTATCTCATTAGTCACTTCGGTGTTTTAATGTGAGAATATTTCAAACTGGCTTTAAAGATTTGGAAAAAAAAAATCCTAAGTGTTTGCAAACTCTTTTCTCTCTCCTCTCCACCCCCCCACCTTTAAAAATCCAAAGCAGTGTGAACATGCTATAGAAAAGCGTGAGGTAGTAAGAGGGAGCCTGTATTTAGTGTCTTACACAAATAATTAGTAATTGTGATCTTTGGAAACTAAGTGTGTGTTTACTTTCATTTTAAAATTTGAAAAAAAAAATCAGTCAACTAATTAGGCTAATTTAATTTTTTTTTTGCATCCACACCAGGATTTTTGCACTCAATTGGCTCTCTTGTAGATGCTCACAAAGGTTTAATTATGTGTGCATCAAATGCAAACCGTGAATTTGCAATTGATTACGATTCCTATGTTTGTAAACTTTAGCATAAGATCAGTGCTGCTCAGTTAGAGGCTGGGACAGTTCTGTGATCCTGAATTTTGGAACTTGTGTAATTATATGCCACAAAATACTCCAAGTTTTGTGTTTGTCACGTTTAACCAACAATTTACAAAAAAAATCTTTAAAGGCTTGTCTTTTTAAATGTTATACCTCTGTTTCTCAGAATGATTTGCCCTGGATCTTTAGCTCTCTCCGCAGCTCTGAGGAAGGTATGGTGTTCAGAGCCATTGTACTGATGAAAGCCTTCTGGTAGCAATAAAAAAAGTTGTCCTTTATTTTCTGAGGTGTGTTGTGTGTTGATTTTTTTTTTTTTTTTTTTTTTTTTTGCACTGGGCTAAAGTGAGTACATGAGAGCCAGAGGAATGCTGCTAAGCTACAGCCTGCTGGGTTGTTCCAAGCATGGCATCCAGAGAAAAGGAAATGTAGGTTTTAATACACTGTAATCCTGACTTCTGTTTTTTTTTCCAGAGCCGCTAAGATTCAGGATGCCAAGTGAGTCACATGCCATCTGGATTTCATTTCATCCATTCCTTCTCCATCTCTTTACTTCTGAGACTCTCCTTGTTTCTCCTTATCCTTCCCCCTCTGGTTCCTTGCTTTCCAAACACAAGTGCCTTCCATTATCAACCATACATCTCCCAAACCCATCTGCCTGCCTCTCTGCCATCTTTCCCCCCAGACACACTGAGCAAGCTGTTTGGAGCAGATACAGAGAAAAGTCAGCCACTGTAGTCATGATTTCCCTTCCTCCTCCCCATTGAAAATGAGGCTTCTAATAACCTACTCCTGGGCCACATCTCAAGGTCTCTAATCCGTCCTTGCTCTCCCTACGCTCCCAGCTCCTGTAGAGCGCATGCCCTCCTTCTGGACAGGTACCCTCTCTGGGCAGGCCTCGCTGGGACAGAGGTAAGAACTCTGGTGGCCAGGCTACATGAATGCTCCAGTCATTGGTCGCGTTGGTGGAGCTGCTGCTGTAGGTGAGTTCCAGGCTGGCCAGCTCTGAGGTAAGCCCATACACGGCTGAATGTAACTGTCTTGAGAACAGCATCCAAGGAGGTTGCTAGAGAGACATAACAGGCTCTCTCTCCTTGTCCTTTAAACATGAGGTGAAAAGTGTCTTGCATGTTCCCAAGAGGCTGAGTGGGAGCAGATTGGGGATCAGGCCTTTGAACACCCTTTCTAGCTATTCCCTTCTCTCAATTTCCTAGCCGTCTTGTTCCCTTCTCCTGACCTGTGACTAATTTGTGGGCCCTGGGGAGAATGTTTTACAGAGCTCTCTGCTTCCATGGAGGACGTGAAGGGGCTGGAAAATGCATGTGGCTGTTTCTTGATGCTGCTGGACATTTGGCGAATGCCTGGCAACCTGGACAAGGTGAGATGGGTAGCGAAACCAAACGGACAAGCTAAAGAAGCAGAGAGGTGAGACAAAGCCCCCTGGGAGGGTGCGAGGCCCTGGGCAGTACAGGGGGTGGGGATGTGAATTGCTGCTTTGGTTAGGTGTGGTGGAGCCCTGTGGGGAGACGCTGTTCACAGCCAGCCAGGCACTAACAGGTTACAAATTAAGTTACCGTACTTTGCATAACCCACGGGTTATAGTTGCTAAAGTTTTACATACCCACCCCCGGCTATACTCGTCCGCATGTAATACAGGTTTTTTTTTTTTTTTACTGAAAGGAAGACAAGACTGACTTTTACTTGAGAAAGCAGCATATTTTAATTTAATAAGAGGCAGTTCTATTAAAATCATTAGTTTACTGTGCAACCAGTAAAAGAATAAAAACGATTAAAAACCCCGTCTTCACATTCTCGTTCACTCTGATCTCTAGAATCCACGCCAGCAGCATCCTCCTCGGCCAGTTGCAGCCCGTCAGTGGTCGCCTAGGGTGCCAAGATGCATTTAAATGCATTGGAAGGAGCCTGATTTCCCTCAAAACAGTGTGGTTCAAAGGGGTTATATACCAGTGATAAGGGTTGTAGCCTGCTTAGTGCTCGGTGTTACCAGCTGTGGCTCATTAACACTTGATTACAGGCGCTTTGCATTAACATTACCTGTAGTTCATCTCCCATGGACTATACACATGCGCGGGGCATACAAGACTTTTTTTACTCAATCAGGGAAAACTGGGGGATATACACAGGTGCAGGTAATACTCGTGTGCGGGTTATATGTGCTAATTTACGGTATCAATGGAGAATTCTTTGGTATAGATTTTTGTCTACATTGGCAGCGCCGTGTTGAGTGCTTGTAGCTTCATGCTGCAGTGAAAAGTAAAATGGCAGTGTAGATGTGGCAGGCCGTGCTTGAGCTGCTTGGCTCTGGTGAGCCTTTACTTGCCTAAGTCACGCCTCACTCTCTACGCTGCTCTTTTCCCGTACGGCGGGGCATGTCCTCTAGGTGTTGCTGCCGTAAGTAGAGACCGTCACTGACTTCTCCTCACCCCTCTGCACTCAGCTCTGACTCCCGGGCTCACCCGTGTATGGTTCAGAACCCAGATAAGCTGCAATGCTGCTTTGTTTGAATCTGGGTGAATATTCCCATTGTCGTGCAGCCGCACGGTGGAGGCTTTTTGCATTCGGCACTAAAATTATGGACAGATTTTCAAAAATGGGTGATTAAAAACTAGTGTGGCCTCTGGAGAGAGGGGTTCTGTTCCCAACTGTGCCTGGGCTAGTCACTCCCTTGCTCTGTGCCTCGGTTCATTTAGAACATTTTTCATTAGCAGCTCTAGGGAAACGAAGTTTTATTAGTAGTGAAGTTACTACTCAGTGGCCTGGTTTTCAGAGGTTGCGGAGCACCCAGCTCCTCCATTTTGGTGACAATGGCCAGGACTTTCAGAGGAAGCGGAGGGAATTGGGGACGTCACTAGGAACTGGGTATCTTAGTCCCCTACACACTTGGTGACTCCCAAGTATGTATCAGCGTGGCTAGCTCCCTTGGCTTGTTCCTGTTGGCACTACCTTTGGAGGCTGTGTAGTTTCGTTTGGGGGGGGGAGGGCTGGCAGGTGACACGTTGGGCGTTGAAATTATATATTTAGTCATTGTTTGATCAGCTCCTTAAATGAAGATCACCCTTAGTTTGGCTAGGAGGCTGGGGCCATGTGCTCTGATTGGGTAAATTGACAACACCCAGCGAATTCTAAAAACGATGATTTAAGTAAACAATTCACTGATTTCTCTCTCCTCCCGCCACAAAAGCATCTTACCTCAGTCATTTCTGCTGTTCTCTTGTCACCCGAGAGTTTTCAAGATGTAAAAGTAAGCATGCACAAGCCAGAAAGGTTAATGTCAGCAGTCTGGAAGGCAGAATTAAACTTAGTGATTCGTAGGTGCAGCAGTAGAGTTCTCTGGGTTACACAGGGCAGGGCAGTTACAGACCAGCTAGTTTGAATGGTGAGAGGTCTTTAAAGTGCTGCATAGTCCTGTCTTTTGTTTCAGAAAGATTCTGTAAAGACTAACAAGAGGGTTGATTAGGTGATGTGCTTTCGTGAGCTGAGGAAGTGGGTCTGGCCCACGAAATCGCATCACCTAATAAACCATCTTGTCAGTCTTTAAAGTGAGAGAGATGCAGCCCTGTGAGTCTGGTCTAGCTGAAACAAAACACAGGACTATGCAGCACTTTAAAGACCTTTGTTTGTGTGACCCAACAAAAGGGAAATGCAGAACTAGCGAGTCTCCAGGGACTGTGCAGCGGTAAACAGCTGGGCTTTCTAGGCCTGAGCTCAGATCCCTGTTCTTTGGCACCAAGAGTTTAATTCAGGACTTAAACGGCCCTGATTCAGTGAAGCCCCTGGTCTGTGACTTGAAAAGTGACTGGGGTGTGCGAAGGAGAAGCCCATCTGTGGCTGAATACCCCCCTGCCTCCTCCAGACTTCCCTGGGCCTTGCACTTGCCGCAAGTGAAGCGCACGCTGCAGTGTGTTAGTGAGGTGTGAACAGAGAACTACGGCCAAGCGGTCAATGTGTCTTAGGGTTGGACTGTGGCCCTGCAGAGGGCCGGGAAGCTCCACAAGGTTCCTGTGCTCTCCGGACTCTGGCCACGGACACTGCTGAGCTCAGCAGGTAGGACCAGCTCCGTGGAGGCCCGGGGCCCCTGTGTCTGCTCAGACTCCTCTGCAGGTTTTCCAATTAGCGCCCTGCCAAGCTGGCTGTAATGAGCCAATGCCCCTGTCCCTCCAATTCCCCAGTGCAGAGATCACTCAACAGCAAAGCTAATCCGGCCCCTCAGTGGTATTCCTTCCCCTCGGCTGTTTCCATTCCACAGCCTCGGCCACCCAAGCCCCTCCTGGGAGCCAGAGGCCCTGCTGTAGGCCTAGAAGCAGCTGACTCCCCATAGATCAGAAGTACACCCTGGCTCCGTTATTTCTGTGCCGTGATGGGAAGCATGGAAGAGCTGGGGCGCCCGCCCAGCAGCTAAGCCTCGCTGAGAGCGAAGTATTAACGTGCCCTTGCTACACACGCCTTCAGCGTTGAGCCTGTTTCCTGGCGTCGTCCTTCTGAAGTGCCACGTGGAGAAACGGTTTGGCAAACCAGACCTCTGATGGAAGACTAAAGAAGTCGGCTTGTCGAATCTCTCGAGAGAAGATTTGGTAAGTCTGCAAATACGCCCAGGGCTGTGTGACGGGTGGACCAGGCCCTGATGCCCACTGCTGGAGGCCTTGTGGTCATGCCACGCCTCACCTCCTCCCTGGCCAGCCGTGTGTGGCCGCACAGGACAGGGCCACGTCTCCTGGGCACTCAGAGCAGTGGTTCTACTGGGAGAGTCAGATCCATGCGAGCTTGTGGAGAGGGATGGGCTAACGTCCCAGGAGCTGGGTGTTTGTGCAGCCCACCCCATTGCATCTTTGTTGCTGCAGCGCCACACCTCTGGGCGCATGTTTGTGCAGCCCACCCCACTGCATCTTTGTTGCTGCAGCGCCACACCCTGGTTAGGTTACGTGCTTCCCGACTCTGGAATGACATCTCAGATCCTGGTTAAGTGAGTCTCACACACAGTGTCTCTTGCAGTATCTGTGGCCCTCCTGTGGCCGAAGACGCGGTTGCACTCTGTTCTGAATTAGGGATGTTAAATATAATCACTAGTCGATGGATGGGAGCTCACCCTGCTGCAGCTCTGCCTATTGGCTCTTAATACATTTAAAAGGCTGGTGTGCAGTGTGGGGGGAGGGGCTGCATGAGCCAGAATTCAGTAGTCCAGGCTCACGCTGGTTTTCCCCTCGCTGCGCTCTGCTTTTGAGATGTATTAAGAACCAGCAGGCTCTTAATACATTTGAAAGTC